TTCAAATATTTAGATAAAGAGTGTTTCCGTACATTTTGTAACTGTATGAGGTAAATCAAAAGCGCTTTGTTTTGATCAGTAAATGATATACTCTTATTATAACACTTGATTATTAGTTTTCCCAAGATTATTTTTTTCGTTTTTAAACTAATCAAATTAAAAAATCATTTTGATTTTAATAACTTCTCCTTTAGATTTATAAATTTGAACATTATTTATCATTTCTATAACATCGGATTTATTCATCCTACATGTATATGAAATACATGTTCAAAATAGTGATTCGGTTAACCCTAAATATAATTTAATATTCCAAGGCGATCTTTTGTATTTGCCACCACCTTTAATATGTATTTTAACTTTGTGTATTAAACTCGACATTCTGTCTTATAATCCATTCGAATTGACAGTCACACCTGACACGATGTGCCCTGAAGGCCCTGCTAGCCTTCCACGACTGTTGCCAGATAATAATACACACATCGTATATACCTAGTCCTATCGTAGATAGTAAAAGGTCAATAAGCGTACACCTATATATTGTCCTTACAGTTTAGGTTAACCTTTAATTTGTTCACCATATCCGTCGGAAAAAGCAAATATTAAAAACATTTAAAAGATTTACTTTTTGTGCTGTAAACAAAAATAAATCGAAATGTATACGGTAGATATGGAAAATTTTATCTCATTAATGTAAAAAGTTACTTGTCTGTTCATTTTATTTTCTTACTATCGGATGGTAATTAGCTATCAAAATTAGTCATCGGCGCGCTTATGATTACATTAAAATATGATTAAAGACCAAGGGGGGGGGGGTGATCTCAAGTGCTCCAGAAGGGTAAGCAGATCCTGCTCCACATGTGGCACCTGTCGTGTTGTTCATGTAAGTATAAACCCGGTGATAAGTATAATTCGGTAGGTCACATTTGGGGAAAAGGAGGACGGCATTGTGGTTACGACGATTGGAACATATCTGTCGGTCTCAGTGAAACTAATATTCCAGCTCGTGATGGTGTCCGTAAAATTTTCGAAGGGATGATTTCAACTTCACCACTTGGAACTATTAATTTAAAAGCTTCTTTGTGAGCAGCAACCCTCTATCAAGGAAATCTATAATGTGATTTCCAAACAAAATCGATATTATAGAGAGCTTTGTCTTTTCTTTTTGTCTTTTGTCACAGCAATATTTTTGTCATAAAGGTAAGCCAGGTGGTTAGCTACATTTTATAGTAAGGAGCAGTATGGGTCAGGGGGAGATAACCCCGCAATTACCTCATTATATATTTATCAATGGTAAATATCGTAAGCCGCATCTATCGATAAAATTGATGAATAAAAATCACATATGTACGTGCGGATAAATCCTAAATACCGATATGATGTAATTTGTTTATTGAAACCCAATGCTTAAATTATATTGTAACTGGTTGCAATAGCTGTTTTTCTTGCCAGGATTGTCTGCTTTTCGACTCCGGCTACTTTATGGTAGCAAACCAATAAAAAGATCGCACACGGATAGATGTTGGTTGTTAACTGAATTGAAAGCACCTTGCAGCAGCAATTTGTTTTTTTAGAAAATAAGTGTCAGCTAATAAATATTTAAGATTTACCGAATATAAGTTGTTAACTTTTTGTCAGCTGATAAAAAAGATGCTGAATAAAATTAAAGTTTGGTTTCCCAAGCATGTCACACACGTGGTCAAAACGAAACTATACTGCATAATTTAAATGAAAACGAAATTATCTTGGTTTTGAATAAAAAGAGAAACGTATGAAACAAATATATAGTGTGTCAACTTCTGGCAATGCATGTTGTCGAAAGCCCGTTCACAACATTCACCATGAAATTCATTCTTTTTTTACCACGCATCAAGATAATAATGGCGTCTGCTAAAAATATGTTTCGATTTTAATTTGTATCGATCCTCATTGAAGTTGCGAGGCTAAAAATCAAATAGTCTTTTAAGATGTCATAATTATTTGGACAAATCCTGGACCCTGTGATCAATTTTCTCCTGGTCCATGCTCCACATGCCTTGTCAGCCATTTGTCATGATATATTTCTCAATTAAATGCCTCAAATTATACTTTTGAAGTTTTGAGAGGTAAGTTTAGACGTAATAAAATTAGAAAAAAAATTAAAAAAAATATATATATATACTTAATGGCCATTTTGCAGTAAGAAAAAGCACTGTTTGTCAGCATGTTTTCCCATTATGAAGCAATTTCCCTTCAAGGCACTTCTCGTGAAACACACGGATGCTCATGTGTGTTCACACAAATACACGATGAATATTCAATAACTCCTCATAGATATCAGACTTAAAATTGTGTACGCCAGACGCGCGTTTCGTCTACAAAAGACTTGTTAATGACACTCGAAAAAAAAAAGTCCAAAAGGCAAAATAAAGTACAAAGTTGAAGCGCATTGAGGACCCAAAACTCCTAATGCTTTTTAGCTCAACTGATTTACAAATGTAGTCCAATTGCTACCATTGCTGAATTGTAATTTAAGTTGCCCGACGTAAAACATATTTTTAACTGTCGCCTATTGAGTTTACCTCGCGACGAGTAAAAGAGATAGTAAACAATGCTGTTATCTCCATTGTAATGCAGCTTAATCAACCACTTTTATTACTATTTTGGTTTCAAATTGTTATAAATAAAAAAATCCGCAAAACTTATTCTTGTCTTTGGCATCTAAACATCGTGATGTCCGAGGTTCACTGAAGAGATAACTTTATTGTATTTGAAGCTTGGCCTACGTCAAATATTTACTGTCGCAAATTAAGTTTATCTGGCGACGCGTAGCGGAGCTGGTAAACGGATATTGGCGACTTTAAAACCAAATTTTACTTAGATTAATCTTCAAATACAATACGGTTATCTCTTTTCTAATGCAAAATGAACAAATCAGTCTACTTCAGTCATTTTTTCGGTATAAAATTTCATAAAACGAAAATTCCGCAAAATAATGTTATCGTCTTTGGTAACTAAACAAGATGACGTCATTTATATGCTTCCGGCGTCAAAAGTAAACACTGGGCGTATTCAGGCTTCTTGTATACCTCCGAATGTAACGAAAATAGATAAAAAAAATCATCTGTAGGTGAAAAATGTGAGTTTTGTAAAAATTTATTATTGAAGAACTAACATATCAATACATTCCAGAATTCAAAATGTCGGCTTCCTTAGCTACAGCCAGGTAGATAGAGAATTTTACTCTTGTTGTTATCCAATCAGAACCATTGATACATAACGATTGCATTAGAATTCCTATTCAGACATACACCTCAGAATGATATAAATATTTACAAAAAGAATTTTTTTCTGGAGAGAAAAAAAACAACATGTGACTTATTTGATATATTTTTGAAGAAATCACATACGCTAAAATTCCAAAATTTAAAATGGCGGCTTACCTTAGTAACAAACCAGTAGACCGTGTAATATACCCCTTCAAAATATATGACGAAGACCAATAATAACATACAAATTTTGAAATTACATGTGTTACGATGACAAAATGACCAAGTTACGTAATATCCCAACTTATTGTTTGACTTTTTAAGGAAATGTGTAAAATGGCAAATAAAAATGTCTGATTCATATTTGTCAGTATATTGTCAAGTAAGCAGAAGTAAATTTATATTGTGGTTTGAAATCATGTTAAAGATTAATTTTAGTGTTAAGAATAAAGAATGATAAGTGTATTAAACATCAAATTTTACTTAACAAATCAAAGTCTGAGTTAATGCTTGCGCAAGAAAGCAAAAAGCACGTACACGCAGCTGTATAAAAGTGAAAAAATGCTGATCATTTATACATAACGATATACACATCAGTTACTAAAGGCATCGACAGACAGAAAACAAGGTATAACACTTTTAAACTTATTAGAACGAGTATCAACTAACTGATATCAACATACTAATGTCTTCGCCTTCATCGAATTGTTTGATTATAATACCAATCTATATGAACATATTTACTTTGCATGCAGTTCTTTTATTAATTAATCTTGAATTACATATTACAACGACAATTATTTCTACTTATTCTCAAATGTTTATTAATATTTTTTAATTTATTTCAGGCAGGATGAATACTTTGATTACCTATGCTGTTCTTCTAATTACTTTTTCCTTTGCTAATGCTGTACCCACATATGGCGGCGGTAGAGGAGGTCGGTTTTTGTTTTGTTTACATAATATTATTTTACTCTTTCCGATCAAATAAAGGACATAGTTAAAAGGGTTTTGCCTATTATTCTTTTATTTTTACAACTTTTCCTTTTACACTTATAAATTTGAAATATTATTTTAAGCATTATGGTAGAGATGCAATTTAGTTCAAAGGAAAAAAATCTTACTAAATACATGGTTCTATTAATTTGTTATAAAATGATAATTAATTTTTTTTACATTGAATCAAAGACTTGATTCATTATTATGACGGGCTTAAAGTGGCTTGGCATTAGGATTGATTTTGGTTTATTTAACATCTCGTGGCTAATATTTTATGCACATAGAGTACAAGAACATCAAAAAAATACATCAAAGTGGTAGATTCGGAAAATTGAGCTAATCGGGACTCTAATCTACAACTTGGCAATCACGGATTCCTCAGTCAGTTACTGCAAGGATTCCCTCAAGTCCAATGAGCATGGCACTTTCCCAACAAATGCCTTGGATATAACGTCCAAATGCTGACTGCTTATGTAGTAAGAAATGGTACTGAATTTTGATGTTCGCTACTAACAAAAATCCAGCTTTTCCTATTGATAATTGTAGTTTTAGTTTTTTTATGATTATTTTGTCTGTAATAAAATTATTGGGAATAGGATAAATATAAAAAAAAATGGCATCAAATCTATATACTATCTCGATAACAAAAGTGAGTCAGAAAAATCGCCAGAAAAGTTTACTAGAAGATTATTATACAACTAAATTTCAAACTGTCTTTGCTACCTTTTTATACACTTGTATTTATTATTTCAGTAAGTGGTTCCATCAGTGGGTCACTTGATGGATCTATTGGCGGAAATTTGGGAAATAGCTTCGGAAATGAAATTGGTAGCAGTGGAATTTTAAGTTCTCTCAGTGGTGCTCTAAGTGGAAACTTGGGCGGAAGCATCGGAAGTGGATTTTCCGGCAGTAGAATATCTAATTCTCTCAACGCTGCTTTAAGTGGAAATTTGGGAGGTAGTCTAGGAGGTGGGCTCGGCGGTAGTGAACTATCTAGTTCTCTCAATGCTGCTTTAAGTGGAAACTTGGGCGGTGGCATCGGAAATGGCATTGGCAGCAGTGGAGTATCTAATTCTCTCAATGCTGCATTAACTGGAAATTTAGGAGGTAGTCTAGGAGGTGGGCTTGGCGGCAGTGGATTGTCTAGTTCTCTCACCGCTGCATTAAGTGGAAATTTGGGAGGTAGTCTAGGAGGCGGTATAGGCAGCAGTGGTATATCAGGTTCTCTGGCTGGTGCTCTAAGTGGAAATTTGGGAGGTGGAATTGGTGGTGCTGGTGCAGGCAGATCTATCTCCATTAGCATGAGTGCCTACCTCAGATTGATTTCCTATATATCTGCTCTACAACAAGCTATTACTGCCAATACCTTAGGAGCAGGATTGAGTGGTGGAATCAGTGGTGCAATTGGTGGTGGCGTAGGTGGTGGTTTTACTGGTGGGGCTGGATCTAACTTTGCCGGACAATTTGACGGTGGATTTGCTGGTTCTGTTGGTAGAACTGGATTCGGAACCGGAGTTGGAAGCAGCGGATTTTCTGGACAATTTGGAAGTGGAATCGTTGCACAAAGTAGAAATTTCGGAGGCATTGGGGGAACAGGTGGTTTAAGTGGAGGACTATCCGGGAGATTGAGTGGTGGACTTTCTGGGGGAGTAGGAAGTGGTATAGGAGGGGGTGCAGGAGGAGTTAGTAGTGCAAGCCTTTCAGGTCTGTATTCTATGTCGTCATTAGGTAAACCATATTTAACAATATATGTAAAAGAGGAGCTCTATGATATAATTGTTTGATAGTTTGTAATGCAATGTAATGTAATGTAGGAACGATATAAGTGCTGTTCTTGACATTTACTCTATTATATACCCTGACTTCACTAAGAGTTCTTCCTTTTTCTTTTCATTTTTTCTTTTCTTTTTTGTTGGGGGGAAAGGGGAGGGTCAGGGATGAAATGTTATTTAACAATGTAATTTGTTAGGCCTTCTTATTTCAAATACACTGCCTTGAATCGTGTCTTATGTCGAGGAACGAAGCGACTGGCGTACCTAATTATAAACCTGTTATTTTTTTCCAACGACCTGTTGTATGAAACATTTTCCCATTAAGTATTACTAAGAGATGTTGTATTTTGATTATTGTATTTACTTTATTAATAATGATTATGTCGATTTCAGGTGCTCTCCAAGGAAGTGTAAGCAGTGGATTCGGCGGAAGGGCTGTTGGAAAAGGTGAGCGCTTTAAAATTAAGTTTAAAAGTCAACAAAATAGAAATAAAGAAAAAGCTTTGTTAGGATAGTAGCATGATCAGTATAATTAAGAAACAGGACCAATTTCCATATTTTTTCACTCACTGGTACAAAATTTGAAAGTCATTAAAACCTATCGGAAATTCGAATATCGAAGAGGCTGTATAATTAAATCAAAACTTTTTCAGCAATTTTACATATTTACATATAACCTGACTGTCAAAATGTAGTTATCCGTATTACGTATTACGTATACAGTTGTTGAGGATAATGTTACCAATCGTTGTATATGTTTTTGTAAAATTTTGCATCGAAGGACATCTTTAACCAACTTGAATTAAATTGTATCTGACAAAAAAAATATACATTTATAGAATGGAATATATTTTTTGAAATATAATTAGGTTTCGGTTAAGAATGTCCTTCTTGTACAATGTTTGGATATTCACACGGATGTTCATAAGGTCAATTGTTAGGAATTAAGCCAACATTCGGTCAAAACGGCCGACATTATTTAAGATACATATATGTAAGTAAATTTATTAATTTCAAAATAGCTGACGTTCTCAGGGATACAAATTATTATTAAATAAAATATCACGATTCATTTTTGTTCAAATTGGGTGAACAATGTTCCTTATTTTTCAATTAGATATACTAATATATAACTTTTGTTTTGTAGGATCAGCATACTAAATAACAGATGTACATTTATCGGACGCCTGAAGTCGATGAACAAACAACCCCATTTTCTCCTCTGTTTTATTTACCTGTTATTAGAATAAACATTTTCATTCAATCGCATTTAGTCTTTTGTTTTATTGATATGACCGTACTACATTATTAAGTGAAAATCAAAATACAACCACATCGAATTAACAACATTTTAATCACAACCTTGAATTGTGATTACTTTTATTTTTATTTTTATCTTTGTTGTTTAATATTTTAAATAATAAAAACATTTCTTTCATTGAATCTCATAAGCCCATTATTTCGTTCTACGATCATGTGCAGAGAAATGCACGCTTCATAAGGAAGAACAAATGATCATCGCCATCTGGGTAAGGAAAAGTAACAATAAAAAAGGGGAAAACATCCAGTTTGTTAACAGATGTTATTCTTATGGTTCAAGAGCCGATTTCTCTGTCGATTTAGAAATTGCAAGTTCAGAATGATAAATTTCATTGGTATATTTAGATAAAACTTGATTATTTAAATAATATTTTGTCAAAATATTTCCATGCATTGTATTAAATATCTTAAACGAGATCAATAATTTGGTCTTTATGAAGATTAATCACAAACTGTCATCATAACAGTAAACGAATAAATATTTTATATATGATAATAATTGTTATATTGTAAGGTCTGTATCCTTCTCTTGGCAAACCAAGCTTTAAACACGTACTTCTGTAACATGAGCCAATCTATTGTAAATTATAGCCGTCGTTTGTCGATTGACGCCTTTATTCCTCGGCTTCTTATAAGGCTTTTACACAGTACATGACGATTAATAACATGCAGATAGAACACTTTGCGGACAAGCTATTTTGTCTGTCTAAAAGGATGATACTTACCATGCAGTCATATAGATATGTTCTGTTTTATACGTGTACACCTGTAACAAGCTGACGATATCCTCCATCTGATAACCTGGAACTATACAGGGCAATCATTGCAATGTACATATACCTTGTTTTAAATATAGCTCAACAAAGTAAGATCTTCAACTTATGTAGCGGGATATGAACTCCTGGTTCCGTAAAATCGTTGAAGCCTTTCATTCGAAATCCTACCCAGTGCCCTAGACAAGTCGCCAAACTAGGAAAGTGAAAGTTGATCCTGCTAGTCAAGCGGAACCCGTTGTGTTGATCAGAGAAAGTTAAATTCGGGGGAATCATATCCTTTGTTGTAAAGTGTAGTTCTCAACCGACCCTTATTGCTTATTTCTAGGTGTATGAGGCAGACTTAACTGTATCTGTGGAATTCTTTATTTCATAAAATATATGATTTTAAATGAAGTCACCAACTTTTGAATAGTTTATATAGCGGAACGTTTAATTTAGTGATAAGCCATATTTTTCAAATTTCTTCCTGTGTAGCACTTGTTTAAAGTCTGCCTCATATGAATAAAGAAAAAAGTCGGCAAAAAGTGGAGTACAGTTGTTTTTTTATAGGAACGCGGATTGTGCCTGTTCAGAAAGACATCATAAAGAAGCAATACATATGTTGTCAATAAAAAATTCCAGAATATGAATTCCACTTTTGTGATTGAATCAGAGTATTTATTTTTACAAAGTATTATTTACCACTTGGTAAGGGGAGATAAACCCGCCAGTACTCATTATATTCTCATTAATTGCGGATTCCGTAAACAGCGTCTTTCGATGAAATAAAAATTACATACGTGCATGTGGATTAAATGAGGATAGTTAAAAGTTATCTGTTTATTAAAACACGAATATTGCATTTTTGTGCTTAACTTAAATTGTAAATGGTTGCACAATCTGTTTTATGTCGGGATCGTCTGCTTGTTGACCCCGCATACGTTTGAGTGACAACCTATCAGAAGTCGATCGTATTCGGATAGATGCTTTTAGTTTGCAGAATGAAAAGCACCTTGCAGCAGCACTTATATTTCATAATGTGTAAAAATATAGCAATTAAAGTAAGTATTAGGTACCTAATATGTACGAATAAAGGAATATAAGTTGTTTACTTTGTAATTCATTCATTTAAGCAGATAAAAAAATAATTCAGAAAATATATAAAATCGGAATTTTTGAATTCATTTTAAAATGAACAGAGGCTCAGATGAAAAAAAATATATATCTAAGAGTGTGTCAACATCGGGCATTGTCCGTTGCAAAGAGCATATTCATAATATGCAATGTGAAATTCATTCTTAATTTATCTTATTTCCTCATCCCTGACCTAGTCGATACAACCATGAAGTCTGCTCCGATTGATTGATTGATTGATTTTTGGTGTTTTAACGCCACTTTTAAGCACCGCTTTTGGGCTATTTCGTGGCGGCCAGTTTTTATTGGTGGAGGAAGCCGGAGCGCCCTGAGAAAAACACCGACCTTCGATAGGAAAACTGACAATCCTAGTCAATTAAGATTGGAGTCGAGTGCACCCGCACGAGCGGGGTTCGAACTCACAACCTCAGTGTTGACTGGCTAGTGATTACAGTAGTAACTACTTAGACCACTCGGCCACCGAGGCCCCAAGTCTGCTCCGAGTATTTTTTTTTTTTTATTTTAATCTTTATTGATCCCTCATTGAAGACATCGAAGCAAATTTAAAACAGCCTTTCAAGATGTCATAATTATTTGGATTTATCCTGGACCCTGTGATAAAGTTTCCCCTGTTCCATGCTAAGCATAGAGGAGCGGCTAACATGAACATAATGGCAAAATAGTCGAATTAGTCACTTAATCATGAATTTTCACATGAAAACTTCATCTATAATGAAGTATAAAACCGCCGTGTGCCACCGTGATTTTTTACCATTTTTAAAGATGGCTGCCACAAAATAAAAGGCCGGTTTTTACACCAATATATTCATTTTGTTCTATCAAGACCCCAAAGGTTGATTGGATTTTATAACCAAATGGTCATTTCGACTCATTCCTCATTCCAACAGCAAACCCCATTCTAAAGAGGGTCGTCCATTTTGCGGTTCAGATGTATAAATACACAGCCACAGAATGGGGTCGCCACTTTCCAATATACCCTTACTATTTCCCCCATTATCCAGGTCTTCCCCTTCCATTCAGAATCACAACTAGAATTAAAATATAGTTTATGTGCCGTGTTTCTTTCAAACAAAGATATGAACGGACGATGACCTTCCCCCAGCTGATTTAAGATTTAATGTGTGTTAGAAGCATCTCCGCGCTATTAATCAAACCTGTTATGTAAACAGACCCAGAACGACTGATGAAGTAATTTAAATTAAGATAATAATAATAATAATAATAATAATAATAATAATCCAATGAAAAAAATCAAAATAACTCAAAAATGAAAAATATTTAATATATTTATATAACAAATTAAAAACACAATAAATAAAATACAAATATAAAAATTATAAAAAAATTGGCGTTACGGGCAACATGCGTATGATTGATATGTATTTAAAAAATAAATAAAATACATATCTTAATAAAGAAATTAAATTTACATTATTCGAGCATCTATCGCTGCAACTGCAATAGACGATAGAGTGTAGATTTATTACTGTGACTTAAAATAACTTAGACCATAAGGAGAAAGTTATGAGCCGCTTGAGTATACATCTAACAGAAACATAACTCGTAGAGTATTAAATGAAACCCCAAACAATGTGAACTTAATAGCAGAGAGAGCCTTTAATAGAGAGTATTGACAAGAGCTCGAAACATAATTCGAAGAACACGTGTTACTTCGAAATATAATACCTCTCTACGCGTGACATGTTGAGCGCTGGCCCATCCTATGTCAAACATAGGTAACTCAAGTATATTTAATACCTACACTAAAATTATATACCTGCATGTTGAGCGCTGGCCCAGCCCATGCTTAGAGGTTATGGGCTCACTTTGCAACCTGAGACGGATAACCTCGAGTGAAAAAAACATTTGCACATGTATCCAAAAGAACTGTCAAATGGACAAACAAATGATTCGTTCACCCGACGAGAGGGCTGCCTAGTTACCCGTTTTATTCATGGCTGCCTGAGAACTCAGGTAATAATTTTGTGACAAGTAAAGAATGAGTAACATCCATTATTACATTGCCCTCATAGCATGTTGCCAAAGCACAAACCACAATCTCGGAGGTGTTAGGAGTGGATGTCGGGTCAATAAATACAGAATAAAGTTGTTACAAAAATAAACATGTATATCTATTTCCTTTACAAAATTTCAACTGCTTCTTAAATAAACTTTCTGATAACTATAGACGATGTTGGGGAGAAGTGACCTCAAGGT